GTCTCTGCTACTTGTTCTAAATCAGTTTTTTGAGATGTGGCCGTAAAAACTTCTAGAAATGAATTCAAATCATGAAGGAGTCATGAATCTTTTTCCATTCAAGATATAAACCAGGAAAAAACACTTCGTGATAGTAGTGAGCCTATGAATCCGACTTGGGTAAATCCATCAGGATATTGAAAAGGGTGCAATTTTAGATAGAGCTTGACTTGTTGTAAAAATCCTAAAAAATTTGATCTTATTCCATCAAACTTCTCATGCATACTAATCCTTCTGTCAAGGACAAGAACTCCATGAAAAAGTAATTCAGACAAGTGAGCCTTTATTCAAAGAAAGGTAACAAAATATAAATAAAATAAGTATGTATATTGAAAGAGAAATTAGAATGGCTATTGCCAAAAGACAAGAAAACTAGAGACCCTTGAAACTAGGCTAGAAACAAGAAAGGAGTTGACAAGAGTGAAGAAGGCTTCACTCTTGTCTCTTTATATACTATCTAACTAGGGGCTACGTTGCAATGTTCTATAGGACCTCCAAAATGTGTTGACTTTGTAGGACACATGCCTTAACTTACAAGGCAAGTTTTTCTACGTGTGGGCCACATAGTTAGCTTGATCTTCAAGTTAACATTATGTGTGGCACATGGCTTACTTGTGGACCACGTTTCTTATCGAAAAGTCAATTAAAGACACCTATGAAGTCAAAGCAGCATCTATCAAGCTTTTAGGAAGCTTCTATATTAAATACTGTAGAATTAACTTAATTTTACCTACTTTTACTTACTTTCATCTATTTGTATATGTAGTTACTAGCTTACATGAGTATGTCCGTGACACCTTCTCCATGTCATATTTTTTGAAGCAAAACTCTCTGGATTTGGTTGTGACGATGTCATACTATAATTGCTTATAGTATTTAAAAATTAATTTAGACATATAATATATTTGTAAGTCTTTATGTAGATTAGAGTGGTTAATAAATGAATTTAAAGAGAATTGGTATAGGAAAGTTTATTTGGGGATTTATCTATTTTGATTATAGTATTTATATTATGTAAGATTTAGATATTTAGTATAAAATTTAAGAGAAGGTTGGAATCTAAAGATGAAAGTCTAAACTATTAGGAGGCTTATTGGGAGGGATGAAAGCAAGGCATGGTTGGATGAAGGCAAGGAATAGAGATCTTCATTCCTATTGGTCGAAGGCCATGCTCAATGGGCTTCAAGGAGGCTGCTCGAGGCCTTATTAGAGATTAGGGTTTTTCTTTAGAAGTCATTTGAGCTTTAGAGGCTAATTTCAGCAAATTCAAGATTTTGGATATAATTTGAATGAAGAGTTTATATGATTTCAAGTTTTTGTGAAGGAGATATAGGTGTTCAAAGTTAAGGTGTCAAATTTGTACCTACTATCACTCTTTGAAGTAGAACATATGCATACAAAGAGCAATGAAAGATCGGCAATTGGAATTGAAGAGAAAACTTTCTTGGCTACATTTTACATATACTGTTTGATGAATTCTAAATTTGGATGAAGGAGTTATAGGGCATTGAAGACAACACATGTAATTCAAATGTAGTAAGTGAGTCATTTTGTTGATAGTAATAGTTGGAGCCATATCTTGAGTTTCTGGACGAATTTTTGGCTCAAAGCTTCTATAAGCATGAGTTATTAAGTTAATAAGGTAGAAATCAAAGTTTCATGGTATTAAAACACTTGTTTTGTGAGATATGAAGAAATTAGCACATAGGTATATGTTAGCTAGGATTTAAAGCTACTGTTAGGATTTTGGTGATATCTCAAGTTTTGTAATGAATTTGTAGTTGAATTTTTTTTGTGGTAGTTTTTGAAAGTATATCAATACTTTATGTAAAGTTTAGGATTTTTTGGATAGTTCGATCGTAAGATATGAACTGTTGATGTTTGGAAAACATTTCTCAGAAAGATATGTAAGGTTTTAAGATATTTTATCATAGATTTGGGTGTTTTCTTAGTACTTGGACTTATGTTTTGATATAATTGCCCTAACAGAGAATATATTATATATATATAAACTTGGTACCTTATTTCTTAGACTTGATTGAGCATTTAGTGGCAGCTGAAAGCCTAACGCTTTTTTGAGACAAACTCTCTTTATCACGTTCATATTGATCTACTTGCTTCTTTTAACTATACAAATTCTTGCCACAAACTGTGAACTTCTTCCGTAGGCGTAAGCATAGTACTTCCATGATTTACATTGGAAATTTGTGAGATTTCCACTCTTAGAGTGTTGACAAGTTCATGAAGATCTGCCATAGTTGCAAATCTATTCTCACTTTCGTTAAAAGTAGCATCCATAATCTTTCCTTCCATAGATAACTCAAACGAATTCAAACATTAAATTAGAGGAGGATAATCTGCAACCTCCAAAAACAAATCCCACAAAGAGGGGTAATCCATTTTCTTGAAAAAAAAAGATCATTGTTAGAAAAAAAGATTTTTGTTTAAAGGTGGATAGTCTACAACCTTCAAATACAACAATAGAAGTTGGATAATCTGCTCACTTCTAAAGCAAGACAAATACAATATGTTAGCACTTTTGTCAAACTGACAAGGACATGAATGTTGAAGAAAGAGAATCCTCAATATATTTTTCTATCAATGAAGAGAACCAAAAAGTCACTCAAAGGTGATGTAATATTAACGAGAATGGCTATTGCCAAAAAAAAGAAGACCAGAAAGTCTTGAAATATGACTAAGACTAGAAAGGCATTGATAAGAGTGAAAAAGGCTTTACTCTTGCCTCCATATATACTATCTAAGTAAGAACTATATAACAATGTTATATATGACGTCCAACATGTATTAACTTTGCTAGCTACATGCCTTATCTTATAAAGCAAGTTATCTATGTATGCGCCACATAGTTGGCTTGTTCCACAAACTACTACATGGAGATAACTTGTTCCACAAGCTACCAATACATAGTTAGCTTTTTGGTCAAGTTTCTAACCTATAAACACATCTAAAGTCAAAATTGCATCTATGAAGCTTCTAGGAAGCTTCTTTAGAAGACTTTATGAAATTATTTTAGATTTACCTACTTCTACTTAATCATATAAGTAACTATTGAGGTAAATATATATGTCTGTGGTAATTATCTTGCATTGCTTTCAATTGGTAGGTGCAATTGATTTCATCTTTCTTATACTTATTTCTAACTAAGATATTAAAAAGTGTGCAAATTTTAAGTTGATTTGAATAATTTGATAATCAGTTGTTGAGGTTCCAATTTGCTTTAGGATTTGATTTAGGATTTGTCTATAGTATAGTTAGGGCTAAGGTTTTGGTCTAGGGATTACCTAGGGTTTGGTTTAGAACTTGACTAGAAGTTGCTTAAGATTTGTCTAGGATTTGTGTAGAACTTAGGATTTTATTAGGATTTGATTAAGGTTTAACATAGGATTTGGTTAAGGTTTAATTAAGATTTGATCTAATATTTGGTTAAGGTTCAATTCGGATTTTAATTAGAATCACATTAAGATTTCTATTTTTAGTATTTATTTAGGATTCTTTATTTTTTCTTTAAAGATTTTTTTTTTCTAATATTTCTTTAAGATTTTTGTTATTTCTTTAAAGGTTTCTTTTTATATTTCTTTAAAATTTCTTATTATTTTTCTTTGAGATTAGTTTGGGACTTCTTTGTGTTTCTTTTATAACTTCTTTTGAATTTATTATAGATTGGTCAAATTTTGATCACGATTATTAAGCTCTACTTAAGGGTATTTAAGATACTTGATAGGATTATTCTTGTATTTCTACTTACACTCCGCATCTAGGCTCTTGATGTGCTCTCAAGGAAGAATACACATAATACAATAGTGCTACATAGGCAACTCATATTACATATATCTAACTTGTTGGCCAAGCTTTCAAACTACAAATCACCTATAGATATGTATAAAATCAAATCTACGTATGTAAAGCTTTGTAGAAGCTTTTCATAAGATATTATTTAATTTACCTACTTCTACTTATTTTGATCTAATTCTTCTAAATTTTGATAAATATATATATATTAATGATATTTTAAAAAATTTAACATAATTTTGTAGCATTTATAATTAAAAATATAAAATATAAAATATTTTTAATATATATTAGTAATTTATTTAGAATATACTAGTAATTTCATATATATTTTTAAAACAACGTCTATTAAAATTGCATTCTTTGCCAAACTAAAATTAATTTTCAAGGATATCTTTGTAGATCCTTTTTTATGCTAAAATTTTGATTAGGTTCTATATAATTGAAAGATTTACAAGTAAATGATAAAAAAAAATAAACACCAAATTATATATATATTAAGTGAAAGACAAAGAGAAAGAAAAAAAGAATTTTAGATATATTTCTAAAATACACAATGTATAATATTTAATAGAAAATGAATAAATTATTTATAATTTAAAAAATGCCTATAGATTTTTTTTGTAGCATTTCATTTTTAAATTATAGAATAATTAAATAGTTGATATAATACATGCTAAAATGGTAATGAATGACAGATCTATCACTCAACATTTACAACACTCAAATTATGCAAACAAGCTCTCATGCTCAAAACAACCACAGATCTTGTAAATAGTTGTCAATAGAGATTCCTATCATCAAACAATCACCATTCTCTTTGTAAGCATTTCTCAACAAAGAATTATATTTTCAAAACACAACAAACTAGGAGAAAAAAGAAATAAGAAAAAAAAATCTCAATTAGGATTTCACTGCTATTCCCTCATTAAAACAACAAATACGTAAATAGTAGTAGTGAAGGAAATCAAACAAACAATAAAAAAATTATGATTAGTTTCATGGGAGGAGGGGAGCAACTCGTGCATGGGCATGCACTTTTAGGGTTTCGGGGAAGGACAAGCCCGGCCCCACGCACCGCAAAAGCATGAACTGAGAGCAGTTGTCCGAACGCCGGCAAAGGGGCATTGAATTGCTGGGCATCTGTAGTGGTGGCGATGGTGGGGATGGTGGGTGTTGGGTCAAGCGTTGAATCCCGCGACCAGCGCCGTAGCTAACTAGAGGGGATGATGCGCCTCTGTTGATTGCACCCAGCCATCGACGTTTTCTTAAGAGCGGAGGAGCAGGAAAGCTCGGATTTTATATATAGGGTGGGCAGCAACGTTGCTTCCGTAAGGGGGACGGGACGAAGCACGTGGTCCGCATTCAAACAAAAAGACGTAGAAGAGGAAGGCGTCGACGACGACGAGGGCAACGAAGAAGAAGAAGGAGGAGGAAGAGGAAGAAGAGGGGAAGAAAAGCCTCGGAGCCTTTCACCGCCTTTTCGCCCTCGCGACTCTTCTTCTGGCCCATTTTCCCCTTCTTTCCCTTCATCTCCCGTGTTTCCCTTGCCCATGCATCGCCATCACGTCCCCACATTCCAGACTTCACATACATCCAAACGCCGCCTTGTGGGATGTAGCGCTCGGGTGGGCAACTTGAGGCTGACTGACAGACGCTGTTTTGGAATCGTTCACGACGTTGTAGCGTCAATCACTCGTCGTTCTGCCATAGCTTAGCAGCGACGCTGTGTGCTTGGTGGAGGGTGGAGTTGAGTTGTATTGTGATTTGTAGGTTCGTGGTTGGGGTTGCGGGGAAGGGGAAAGAGCGCGAGAGAGTGACAAAGAGGGAGGGTGTGTTTGAGAGAGAGCGAGAGTGAGAAAGGGGGGGGGGGTGTTGTATATGTGTGTGAGTGAGAGTGAGAGCGATAGGGAGGGAGCGGAAGAGTGTGGCGTTGTGTTGTGATTGTGAGTTGAGTTAGTGTGATTTGGAGGTAGTTTGGAGCTCGTGTGCGATTCTTAGGGTTTCGGCGGGTTGGGTTTTGGGGTATCTCAGCGGGAGGGTTCAATTTTGAGGATGCTGGGCGTGGCGGGCGGGGTGCATTTGTTGTGAGTAGTGTAGTGGTGGAAGCGCTGGCAAAATTTCGGGTTGTTGGGAGTTGGGGAATTAGGGTAGTTGTGGGCGAGAGGGATGAAGAGGAGGGCCCATTTTTCGATGGTGGAGGGTTGTGCGGTTGGGATTACCTCGAGATTTGACTGGGTGGAGAGCTAGTGTGAATGTTCTGTGAGAAGGTTTGGGTCATTGGAAATTTTAAGATTTTGCGAAGGTTCTTGGGGTCCGTTTTCGATGTTGTATGTTGTAGGCGGGAGCCGCAGTTTTATGAAGAGGCATTGAAACGAGGAGCAGGGATTGAGAGGGAGTGAACTGCGACCATTTTGTGAGATGGGAGAAGATGACAAGATGCAAGCGATGAAACGGCAGAGGCTGGAGGATGGGCAGAATGGCGCAAGCACAGCCGGAAGCTCCAAGTCTGGAAGTGGAGGACGGACCAAAGATGGCTCTTCTAGAGAAGGTGATCATCGGACATTTGAGCGTCGTAAGAGTGGATTAGCGGCAAAACCTCCGGCTAGGAAGTTTGTTATGGACGATGATGATTCGGACGATGATATGCCACTGGCTAGTCGATTGCCCGTTACTGCGAAAGGCAAAGTTGTCAAGGGGTCTCCTATCGCGAAAAGTGGGAAGGATATTTCTGCTTCCATCAAGGATGAAAGAGGGTCAGACAAGGCTAAGGCTCCGGAACCGAAGCAGCCGATACATTATGAATCCGACGATGACGACAAACCTCTTGCTCATCACGTCCAAAGAAAACCAACTGCGAGCATTGTAGATGATGATTCGGATGACGACAAGCCGCTGGCAACGCGCTTGCCTTCTGGTGTGAAGACTTATCAACGAAAGGATTCGCTGCCGAAGACGGTTCCAGGAGTCAAGCAGGAATCATCGCCGCAGAGTAAGCCTTCTACTCCCTCATCTGTGAAAACGCCTAAAATCTCTTCCACCATGCCATCCTCTGGAAAGTCCGATAGCAAGATGGAAGTTGATGGAGACGATGATGAGGACGACGACATCCCTCTTGCTCAGCGAATGTCCTCCTCAACCAGTATCATCAAGAAGGTCGTTCAGCAAAAGGCTAAAGCGTCTTCTAGTACGGGGTCTACTGCAATAGCGGCGAGAAAGCTTTTAGAGAAGAAAAAAGCCAAGAGATTGCAGCTTCAGATGATGGTGACTAAGAAGAAGGTGATCACGAAAACCACCACCAAGAGCAAAAAGGTGGAGCCTGTAAGTGGCGATGGGGTCAAGTGGACAACTTTGGAACACAATGGTGTGATCTTTCCTCCTCCGTATGAGCCTCATGGCGTGAAGATGCTTTACGACGGAAAGCCGGTGGATCTCACACCCGCGCAAGAGGAAATTGCAACCATGTTTGCCGTGATGTTAGAGACTGATTATGCGAAAAAGGAAAGGTTTATCAAAAACTTTTGGGATGATTGGAAGCCGTATTTGGGGAAAAATCATGTGATTAAGAAGTTCGAGCTTTGTGATTTCACTCCCATCTTTGACTGGCATGCGAGGGAGAAGGAGCGAAAGAAGAGCATGTCGACAGAGGAGAAGAAAAGGTTGAAAGAAGAGAAGCTTGCTGTGGAGGAAAAGTACATGTGGGCGGTTGTTGATGGCGTAAAGGAGAAAGTCGGCAACTTCAGGGTGGAGCCTCCTGGGCTGTTCCGTGGCCGTGGAGATCATCCCAAGATGGGGAAGCTGAAGACGAGAATCTTGCCGCATGACATTGTGATCAATATTGGGAAAGACGCAGCTGTACCTGAGTGTCCAATCCCTGGGCAGAGGTGGAAGGAAATTCGGCATGATAATACTGTGACGTGGCTTGCCTACTGGAAGGACCCAATCAACGACAAAGAGTTTAAGTATGTGTTTTTAGCTGCTAGCAGCAGCTTGAAGGGTCAAAGTGACATGCAAAAGTATGAGAAGGCACGTATGCTCAAAGACTACATTGATGACATTCGAAGGACGTACACACATGATTTCTCGTCTTCAGACCCTACTAAGCAGCAGATTGCTGTAGCGACGTATCTTATTGATCGACTTGCCCTTCGTGCTGGTAATGAGAAGGACGAAGATGAGGCCGACACTGTAGGTTGCTGCTCTCTCAAAGTAGAACACGTCACTCTGGTTGCACCAAAGTCACTCCAATTTGACTTTCTGGGAAAAGATTCAATTCGGTATTTCAACACAGTGGAGGTTGATGAGCGGGTGTACAAGGCTATTGGCCAGTTCAAGAAGGGAAAGAAAGAGGGAGATGATCTGTTTGAGAGACTGGACACCACGAAGCTGAATTTGCACTTGAAGGGGATAATGCCTAGTCTCACTGCCAAGGTTTTCCGTACATACAATGCTTCCATTACTCTTGACAACCTGCTGCAGGATACCACCGGGGAGACCACGATTGAAATCATTGCAGATTATCAGCGTGCTAATAAGCAGGTTGCCATTCTGTGTAATCATCAACGGTCTGTGTCGAAAGGCCACAGTGCTCAAATGGAGAGATTGGAAGGCAAGATGCAGGAGTTGGAGGAGCAGCTGGAAGAGCTGGAGACGGATCTGGACAGGGCAAAGAAAGGTAAGCCTCCTTTGAAAGATTCTGAGGGGAAGGTTAAGAGAAATCAGACCCCGGAGGCTCTTGAAAAGAAGATTGCAGCTACAAAACAAAAGATAGACAAGATGAGACTAGATATGAGGGTGAAGGATGATCTCAAGACTGTGGCTCTGGGCACCTCTAAGATCAATTATATGGATCCTCGTATTACTGTTGCTTGGTGCAAGCGTCATGAGGTACCCATTGAGAAAATTTTTAACAAGTCTTTGCTTTCCAAGTTTGCATGGGCTATGGAGGTTGAGCCAGACTTTCGATTTTAAGACGATTTGATGTAATTTTGTGAGATGTAGTAAGCTGGACATAAAAGGCCGTGTCGATAGCGTAGGTGTGCATTAAAGGGAGCATAAGTAGTGCGGAGGCAGTGCCTTGTCCAGCTCGTGTTCCATTAATAGCCTAGTGGAGAAATAGGAAGACCATGGGTGGTTGTATTGGTGGGGTTCAAGTTACATTCTGAGACCGCAGGCTTGGCCTTGAACAGAAAACTGAGTGATTTTCCAGACATCCCAAAGAAGGGAGCAGAGAACGGGGGTGGGTATGAAAGTGGCCCGCATTCATACCTCAAAGCAAAACAACCATGTCATGAAGGGCTGTTCATTGAAATTCTAGAATTTTTTCCTCTCGATTTGTCCTAACAGAGCAATAGCGATTCGTTCCAGAGTTTGAATCTCCGAGTGTGAATTGATTTGTTTTAATTGTCTCAGTGAGTAGAAATGGATTCTTGGTGCCTTGGTATTATTTCACGGAGTTCTAATGTAGGTGACGTTAGCTTTCATATGCACTGCAATTATCTATCTGTTTTCATGTGGACGATATGTTTGGTTCTGGGCTCCCAGTTTTTCTTCTAGAGGGTGCTTTGTCATCGACTGTAGTGTTAGTTTTTGGAGCCTCTAGAGCATCCTGTCTGCCGCTTAATATGCAGGCCCTTGCATATTTCCTTCGCGATGCTGTAATTTTCCTTCGGATGCATGCCTCTAGAATGACGTGTCTACGCAGATCGTGAGAAACAACTCTAAGTACCTACAAAGCTCGACACGAGCTTCACTAAAATTGCCCTCCTTGCAAGAAAGAGGGGTTAATACAGAACAATTTGGGGTTTTTAGTTTGGACTCTTTGCTTGTTGAAAGTAAGATGCTGAAACACTGTTGGAGGTAAATGACATTCTAGCGTGCAGAGCATAGGGTAAGATGGTTGTAGGGGGGCGGAGGTAGGCTGGGAGCTGTGGTCGTGGTCTAGACATTCTTTAAAAAATGCAGACGCTTGCACTACAATTCCGCCTCCGCCAATCCTAGTGGCTTCGCTGCTCGATATTTTTGGACGACGAAGTTCTGCCCAACCGCAGGCATCGGCATGCTTTTGCATCAGAATAGGCACGCGGCTATTCAGATGGTTACGCTGTAGAAATGGCGGGATGAAGTTGATTTTGAGAATGGGGATGTCTGAAGCAGAGGGTCGGCGGTTGAGTGCTTGCTTGCGCGACAATTCCGATGTCACTTCACATGTTGCCGAGGACCCCGTATGTATCGAAATTTTCGTATTTCTCATTGACTATCTGTTGTAGTGGTGTCCTCCTGAGGATTTCCGTGGCCCTTTGAAGTCTCTGTTGCTAGGAATGAATCTGGTAATTCAGGTGGAGTCGTTGGAATTAGCTGAAATTGAATGTAATCTATCGAGACATATTGCGAAAGAGTGAGGCATCATTAGTTTACCTTAGGGAGGTGGTTGTGTCGAGAGTAGTTCATATTGATCGGAAGGGTCGTCATACAGTTGCTAGTGGTCGACAATGGTTCTCTGGGAAGAATTTCTCCCTGTGAAGTGGAAGGAATCAGAGTCCACTTACGAGTGGAGCAATGGACTGAGACGCGCTCTGGGGAGACTGTCCGAGGGGCCAGCCGTGAGCGATGTGCGTAGCGGCGACACATTCGCAAATTTTCTTTTGCAAGTAGCGAACCCGGACACAAATCGGGATGGCGCTGCCGACGGCGTTGCTCACTACTTTAACGAGCGAGTGGAATTCGCGCAGTCGAGCATCTTCTTTGAGAAAACATTGCCAGGAATGGTGCAGCTCGTATTGCGTCTCCCAGAACTCCTTCTTGAACAGATTGAACAGAGCAAGAAGCTGGCTGAAAACTTCTCTGAAGAGCTGGCGGATTCTAGAGAATTTGAAAGTGCTGGGGTTAGTTTGCCATTGCCTTTACAGGTAAATTTTCTAATTCAAAAGAATGCCACAGTTAGTTTCCCGCTTACATTATGCGATTAGTGAGCGGTGTACAATGTTTTATGATCGACACTTTCTTTCGTGAAATCAACTCCGATTGTTGCAATCATAGCTTCTTCTGCGATTGACTCAAGTGTCGACTTCAACTTGTTCCGAGGTTATTGCCGTCAAGGTGTCGATCTTTGGTAAGCAGAATGAGATGAGAATTGCAGGAGAGTGAACAGCAATTTAAGCAATGATTATTCCTCTTTTTTAGGTGTAGGCTCGAAATTTCTGTAGTGGACGAACCCATTTGTTTTTCCTTTTGTCATGTCAACGTGAAGCATGACACGCTGCAGAACAAATGGATCAATTCGAAAGCCACCCATTTTCTCATATCTCATGGGAATGCAAAACGAAACGCAACGCTTATCAAGCAAAATTTATGTTTCTTCCAATACTGGCACTAGGGTTTTTGGGATAGAGATATTGAAAGTTCTTGTGATTGCAGATTCTACATCCTCAACATCCCGGCATCATATTTATCACCCAAGAGTTAGCGGCATCCATTCTTTCATGTGCGTTCCTGTGCTTATTTCCTGTCTCAAAACGAGACGAGTACCGCCTGCCGGGAATCAACATGGATACAGTGTTTGGAGGCATCAGGGGCCGACCGAGCCAAGTCCATAAGCTTCACTGCTTGGTTAACTACTTCAACCGAGTGTGCAAGTCGATGCCACAAGGGATGATATCTTACGAACGCAAGTATCTTGCGAATTATAAGGCATTGGAACCAGCATTTTGGATTGATAACCACAAATCTCTGTGCTCCTTTGAGACTCTGGATCAGGGTATGATCGAGGACGTGGGATGCGAATACGCGCAAGTGGATTTTGCAAATAAGTTTCTCGGAGGTGGAGTCCTCCGCATGGGTTGCGTGCAGGAAGAAATTCGGTTCACGTTGAGTCCCGAGCTCATTGTGGGAATGCTCTTCCTGCCAGTCATGACTGACAACGAGACTATAGAGATCACAGGTTCCGAAAGGTTTAGCAACTATGCTGGCTATGCTGGAAAATTCCACTTCGCAGGAGATTTTGTAGATTCTACTCCGCAAGACGCTTGGGGTCGGCGTTACACTAAAATCATTGCCATGGATGCGAAGCCACGGCCGGGAGAGTCTCAGTTCCAGGAAAACGTTATGCTAAGGGAGATGTGCAAGGCTTATTGTGGCTTTCTACTTACGGAGAAGGCGGATTCAAATGTCCTTCAGAGCAGTTGTAAGTTCGTCATATCCCACTCCAGCTTTGTATCAAGCCATCAATGTAAAAAAATAATTCGTAAGTTAGAGGGTTTTGCCCATGTTTATAATAGGACTTACTCTCATACGCTTGGGGTCATTGTTTAGAGGCTCTTCAAACAAAAGAGCATGTTTAGGTTTGGAGTGCTAGAGTTTGCATGGGAAACAGGCAAACCTTCTTTGAGGTTTCCATAGCGACTCATCCTGTACTGGTGTTCATTAACTCTTCTGCTCTGGCTGATAGGCGAGAGGACAATTTATCGAGGAATTGCTACTGGGAACTGGGGCTGTGGGGCGTTTGGAGGAAATCTTCCTATCAAGAGCATGCTGCAGTGGATTGCAGCTTCAGAAGCAGGATGGCCGACTGTCAAGTATTACACATTTCGGGATCAAAGAGCAGAGCGCCTCCGTGAAGCCGTGCGATGCATTGTGGAGAAGAATTATGACATAAGTCAACTTTGGGGTCTTCTGCTGAAGTATGGGGAGTTGCGACTCTCCAAAAAAGTGGAATGTGATTTCTTCACTTGGTTGCTCGGGACTACACTTTAGAAGCTTTCACCGGATTTTCGTTATCATGAAATGCTAGGAGGGGAAATCCTCCTTTTTCGGCGTCGTTTCTGCAACATATATGACTTTAAGTGGAAAGTGAATGAAGTGTTGCCTTAATGAGAGCGAGCACAACTCTTGCCTCAACGTAGAGATGTGGCGAATCCATTAGTTGATTGAGTGCTATGGCTTGCATCGAAAAAGATTCAGCCGTTAGCTCCATTAGGAGCTGCGACACGTGCAAGACGTGAACTATGCCTCTCATTATTAAAGTTTTCAGAGGTGTTCCATCCGGAGTTAACTCTCTCGGAACGAATAATCCGTTTGAAGAACATGAGTCGAGTTACAATTCGAAGTTGTTGTGAATGAGATGACTCATTTGTTGGGTTTAGTAAACTATCCTCCACTTTGCACTCCACAAATGACTTTAAACTATTTGACACCTTATGCACATTACTTCTTCAAACTCGTTTGCCCCGCTACGTCCTTTGACCAGGTTGACAATCCAGTCGTACCGATATCCAGCAAAATCCCAACACATTCTTGTTCGGGACTTGTTGTCTCAACCAACTCCCACTGTACTGCGGTGCGAAGATTGAACCGATTGTAAGGAGCAACTACAGGAACAGTAAATTTGTCCTCTCGGTTGCTGGTGGTGACTCACAGCGAGTAACTCCCTACTACGTCGTCTCATTCTCCTCTGTCTGAATTGTGTTGCACATTCTTCACAGCATAATTAGCCTTAGGAAGAATATCCAGGAGCAGAGGTTCCGCCGATGCTGTTGGCCGCAGCAAAATTGATTGTTACTCCTAAAAACTTATCTCGTTATTGGTCATGTGAGGTATGGCACGTTAAATTTGCAGGCAGCTACTCACAAGCAAGACACAGTATCTGACGTACTTACTCTACAGTGGGATGACACACATGCCTGTGACAGTTGGGTCGGTTTGTGTGGCGAGCGAACTAATTCTTTCTTTGACTAGGCTATGACTGACATCAACTGCTCTGCGACAGCTGATATCTTCCAACCTCAGCTGCAGACAGCCACCTTCAGTGTCCTCAGCAAAACCAAATCTGCAGCCTGTCAACAAGCCCAAGCGGTAAGCCGAGAAGTGGCAAGCTAGATAAGCCATAGCCAAATTGAAGCATCAATCTGAAGCCACTCACTTACCTGTGCTGGTTGTTGCCTCTTGAAAATGAGCTGTCACATGCATGACAGTTGCACTCTCGTGATATCACAGAAGCCCAAAAAACTCTCCTGCAGCAAAAGCTTTGGGACGGTGCAGAAGTACCCACACCAAGGCTGATGAAGACAAGGCTTGCTGCATGTGATGATGTCTGAGGGGTGCTGGTCTTCAATGGACCGCCATCCCTCCCTTGGATCTTCAGCTTTCTCGAGCACTCTTGCGTGATGCAGTTCCTATTATCTCCTCCCTTTTTCTCTGTATATTTAAGTATATGTATATGCTCATTGAAAATGATTGTATAGTTTTGATATGTTCTTGTCGGAGTTTCTTCTTTTTTGTGAAAGTCTACGTGTGTGTATTCCTTGTAGAATCACCAACCCGAAACCTTATCGTTGAAGAAAAAATTAAATGAAATTAAACTGAATGAATAGAAACTAGTTAAGAAGCTTTCAACAAGTTCAACATTAAGTTATAACTTTATTTAGGCAGAGCATCTACAAACTTTTAGTGATGATCTGATTTTGAATTAATGTTTAAAATTCTTCTTGAACACTTTTACCTTCAGTCTATCTAATTTTACATGAATATTTTTTAATGTTTTATAAAATATATATATATATATATATATTTATATATCTATTTATAATCTTCCATTGTTGTCTTTAGTTGTGTTGTTCAAAAACGATATGAGCCTCTTCTCTAATTTTTTATGGACATATTTTAGATAATCTTTTATTGTTGTCCATAGTTGCATTGTCCAAAAGTGATGAGATAGCATAAATCCTTTTTAACAACATTGCTCCACAATAATTCTTCCAATTTCTTTTTTTCACACCCATTTCCTCATATTACCACCCCTCTTTTATACACACACCCACCCACCCACACACACACAACTTACGATGTGCTTAAATAACATTTGGTACTTCAAAAACAACTCAACATTAAAGAATGATAGTAGGAAAGTTTAAAGTTGTCGGTAAAGTTAAAAGCAGATACCACCGAATGGGGCATTCTCATCCAGCAGTGACTCAGATGCGGTGCATTCACACAATGGATCACAGTCTCAGGCTCCAACCAATGAGACTAGGTGACAAGTGGACGAGGGGGTGGAGTGCACGTCACGGTTTGGAGTGACGACGTGGCGTGCCAGCTCAGACAGACCTGCCTTGTGCACACCACCCATCTGCTAAGTGGATTTGGCGCCAAAAAGCATTCAGCTATCACAGTGCCACGTGGTGGGCATGAAGGGGGGAGGAAGCCTTCATTTTTACCCCCCTTGTATGAAAAGCAGCTTCATCCAACGTTTCGTTGCAATTTTCTTTTTCATCCTCTGGTCAATGGATGAGATCATCCACGTGTGATAACTCAACATACTATTGTTGTGGAGTAAACTAGTTTCAACGCTTGAATAATTTAAAGGTTTGCCGGTATTCATGTTCAAGTGAAAATTGTGGTAATTGTTCTTGATATTATTGTCAATATTTGGGTTCACGCAACTAACCATGGAATTGATAAAAAAACAACAACGACAACAACAAAAATAATAATAAATTGTATAGTTTTTAGTGGTGGCTTGTAGTGACCTTGACATGGATGAAACATGGATGGAGAATGGATATGGGTGGATGAGATTATAGTCTTGGTTTATTTATTATTATTTATTTATTTATTATGATAAACATATATTGAAAGAAAATTTCTCATTCGATTTTTCTGTATAGAAATGGATAGTTAAATATTATGCTTATTACATTAAGCTAAAAGCATTCAACATATACAAACCCAAATATATAATTCGGATACTGACAAATCAAAAGAAGAAATAGTCATGCCTTTTGAGGTTATTTTGAATTCAAATAAAAAATAAACTCTGAAGATTTTTTATGGTAAAAACGCATAATAAAAATAAAAAATAAAATTTGAGCACAAGGATGACTTATACTTGATTCAGTGAAAGATTGTACATGTTTTGAAGACAAAAAAAACTTCAGAATTTTCAAGCAAACTGTACCTTTTTAACAGGTGAAGATATTGATTTTATAAATACAAGAAAGTTGAAAAAAAAATCACATAATATATTATAGCATTATTATTATTTTTTATTTGTTACCCTTATTTGTTGAACCATGCTTTTTGTAAGTTAATTTTACACGCATCAATATATTTCATTCACCCAGTAAGAATTACTGTTTTTATGCCTAATAAGAATATCATGCAAACTTTGTCATACATGATTATCTCGGAAAAAGTAAACTATAAAAAAGAATCTATCAACCTTTAATGAATAATAATCCCACTACAATCACATAAGGATTAATACCAATCAATTACAAATGATACGACTTTTTATTAATACACAAACCTACATTTGAAAATTTTAGGATTTTTTTTTGGATAGTTTAACAGAACATTAGAAGCAGCCTACTTTGTTTGAAGTCACTGCATCCGTCACTGAAGTAATTTTTTTACTAAGAAATCAATAATGCTTCAATTTAGTTGCAACAACCAATAATATGTAAAAGCACATTAAAAATTTAATGATCATTTCGGTAAAACCACTTAATCTTTTCCTTTCTACCACAAAAAACACGGTCATTATCTCTTCTTGTTGAAACTCACAATAAATATGATTTTGATTTGGAGGAACTATCAACGATAAGGCTGAATATTTTTCAATTTTTTTTTTTAAAATATATTGTATGTTTGTATATATACAAGGTCGTTGAACATAAGTGAAAATCATTTGAAGAATTTGTAAAAGTAATAAGCAAAAATGGACAGTTCTGTTAACATCATTGATGTGAATATCATCAATTATTATTATTATTAAAAATATTTCCAATAATTTAAAACTACTTTACAATCCCTAAATAATTGGAATTAATTATTATTATTATTATTTTTTGTAATTTTTTTCTAAATCATCTGCTTGGTTACTTTTTATGTGAAAAACCTAATACACCACATAAGGGTTTCTTTTGCTTCATATTCAAAGTTGGATAAAAGTAGGACAATGGCAACAGGAATCACCAGCTATTCACATACTAGGTACATGAAATCTAAATATCACTATATTTAAATAATAACCATTAATAAAACACATCAAGTTAAAATATCAAATAAACCAATTTATACACTTTTTTCTCATTTTATCAAGGTGTCAGAGCTCCTCTTCAACTCTTAAACCCTTTTAAACACAAAACTCTGGGTGGTCAGAGATTGCCAGTCCAGAAAGGTTTTACAGAGATGAAGAGCAACAGAACTGTGTATTATTAGAGTCCTCTTCCAGACCCCATCACCGGGCCCTCTGGCAGACCCCATCACCGCCTCCGACGTGAATGATATTGCTAAAAGCTCCACAGACTTTACCAAGTCTTTACACGTTTGCAAATACCAAGTCTTCCATTTAGGGTTTTCATATTCTATTGTTATTCTTACCTGCAACACCGCCCATCCAGTCCTCGCCTGAATGCCAACTCTGCAGAAAAAAATAAAGAAAAATAGACTGTCGGTGGTTTGGTGGTAAATATTAAAAAAAGGAAAGAAAAAAAGGCCGAGATTTGATGGGAGTTCGGTAAACTTCGTCAGCATCAGCATGAGTTTGTATAGCATAGTAAATGAAATGAAGGATCGAAGAACGTGGCGTGAAGGGTTGGCTGGATTGACGTCTGGGTTATAGGCTGTTTCGGACAACAGGCTCTGGTAGCTTATCTGTTAACCGCCATTCGATGCCGACTTAAAACCACCAGTTTAGCGGAGAAACGGAGACTTTCGTGCAAGGCCGGTGTAACAATATTGTTGTGCTGTTGCTTCAAACCCTGTGCTTCGTTTGCGTTGAGATGACCATGTCCTTTAATCTACAGTTTTGACTCCAGAACTGAATTCCATCCAGAACACTAACCCCACAATTTCCAAACCTGCGTGGAAATTGGAAAAACTTAAATGACACAGTATGGTACGTTGGCAGTTACTGTACACTTGTGTTGTCTGTATGCCACCAAAGCTCTGTAACTAAAGATTAACGTCGTATTCACTCAACCCAGAAACTCTAATGCCAATCTTCCTTTACATTCAGCGACGATGAGACCGGAGGAAAGTATACTGTTGTCAGCGTGTTGGAGAATGATAAGAAATGGTCGCTTGAAGAATTGGTCGGTGGCGTTGTAGGAGTGGATTTGTTTGCCACTTGTGATTCTGAGTTTGCGTTTTCTCCAATTGTTTACCGTGCTTTGAGAAAACTCGATGGTTGCAGTTGGGGTTTTGGATATACAGCTGGCGTGGTTGTGCAATGCAGTGTCGCGGATTAGGAGGGTGGACAATATCAGGATGGAATGAGTCTGATAATAGAAGCAATTCGGGGTCGTGGTTCTAGTGAAGTGTGACTCTAGGTGCGTGTGTTAGTTGTAGCTTAGACCTGTCACCCCAGTTTCTTGTTGGGAAGGTCGAGGAGATTTAGATTTTGAAGTTTATCATAAGAGTCTTTTTAAGTCGTCACGCTTGAGTGAAGCTGTCGGTAATATTATAAATAGTGTTTTGGTTTCTCCGACACTTCTCCGCCTTGATTTGGGTTGCCATTTAGACTTGAAAGGATTTTATGAACTTGATTTCAATCATTTCGTATTGCAGTAAGGCGAGCAATTACAATTCGCAGAAGTAAGGGTTCGATTGAGAGTTGGTCGCAATGAGGGAAGGACCGCAAGCGAGGGAGGCCCTGGAATTGTTGAGTTTGCTTTGGAACCATCCTGTTCTGACGGGCTTGCTAATCCTCGTTTTCACTCCCCCTTTCTTCCCCTTGGTGGTCTACTTCTCCCCACTCCTCATGTACACAGCGCTCTGCGTGGTGGCGCTTGTAAGCATAGAGAAGTTCAAGGTGGGGGGAGGACCGATGCAGCGAGAGAATCATCTCGGCGGAGACCCTGGGGTCAGCACATGGGTGCCCACGGATAGGCCAGGAAATGCATCTATGCATAGTCACTTTGATTATTGCGACAATTACCTCCGCAACCTATTCAATAATATACACATAGCTCCTGTGACGCCAATGTGGACAGGAGACAATGTTGGCGATGCAACGACGACAAGAGTGACAGTTCAATTGCATCCGCAGCCAGTGGAAAACAACGTACAAGCACCAACGGCTGCAGAAAGCGACGACGATTGGTGGGATAAGTGGGTAAAGGAGTACGAGTCAAGATCAGGATGGGGAGAGCAAGAGGGTCAAGCATCTACAACTCCAGAAATCCAGACGTCGGAAAGATCACGAGCACCAGCACCAGCTCCAGCAACGACCCCTTCACCCACCATCATCAGAAAGGAGAGCAACAAAGGCGTTTCATCAATGGCTCCTGGTACACCGATCGGACGAGACATGTGTGAAGAAGAATGTCCTTCAGCTCCCCCTGCAGCTGATACTGTGGCTTCCGATGCAGCATCCCATTCAAATCCAATGATACCCAGGGAGGAATTGCCGAGTCCCTTTCAACCACCACCACCATCACCAACGCGTCCATCTTGCAATCAGGAAGAGGTGGTGGAAGCTGTGAAGTTTTCGGATTTGCAGGCTCAAATTTTCCTCATGCCAATCCGCACAGATAGGGAAAAACAAGTGGACAGGATTTGCGTGCCTGCACAAGAAATGTATTCAATTCCAACGAGGGTGGATGGGGAGCGCGTCTCAGCTGCGCAAGCGTTGAAGGCCATCAACAAGCTATTGTCCGTGGAAAAGGGTGGATATACTCCTGCCAATTCACTTCCAAGAAATCTCGATAGCGTTGTGAATGCAAAGACTGCTAAATTAGGGGATTCAACCGCAACAGAGCCTCAGGTCAGTCTCAGGAAGGAAGCAATAAGCCCTCAGTTGCATGAAAAGGTGAGTGCGGTCGCCGGTAAAGGACACGCAGTGGAAGTATCTGAGAAGAACAGGAACAAGATTGATTTTGGAATTTCTACTGACGTTGCCGGAGAAACTCCTCTTCGACAATTAAAGGCATCGCGGTCGGAGAAGCACAGCCGGGTATCTATGGGGTACTCTCCTATTCCGCTTCGCACTTCGAGAGGTCTGAAGTCAGAGAAGGTTCCAACTCCTCTCCACTTCTCCCCCCACCTCTTACAAGGCTCGCAACTTTTGGCTCCAAAAGGAATCTCACCTCGTCTGCCGAATCTGACTACGGTCCCTCTTGGCAATCCTGTGGACAAGGTCCCCCAGTGGGTGTACGATGGGATTCCGAAGGAGAGCGCAGGAAGCCACGTCAAGGAAGCTGAAACTGCAGAGGAAAAGAATACTGAGTCCTTCGAACATGGCGTGAAGGTATTATCTCACAGGAAGAGGAGGACGCATGCTCGTCGGCCGTTGCCAATAGAAGTAGACGCTGAAACTCTGCAAGTACGTTCATTCGACTTCAGCACGCCTAATACACCGGGGTCAATCTCAACCGAATCAGTGACCCCTGTTGCCTCTCTGAGGAAGAAAACATCCAAGCAAGGATCTGGGGCTAGTTCGCCCAGTAGGGCTTCAGGAACAGGTTCGCTTCATGGAGCCGCCTTGATTGCAGAGTCCATTGCACCAGGTTTGCTCCCTATCCCCATTTTCCAAGATTTTGCAGCAGAGCGCACACATGAGAACAGTGATCGACATGAGAGGACATTCGCGGCTTTGATCGAAAGGTCAATGTTAAAGTCTCGAGCTTCTGCAGCCTATTCACCACGCACACCCTCATCAGAAGCTTCTCGTGATGGGGCAGGGGTAGAAGTGTCGTCTAAAAAAGCTCCAGTAGTAGCATCTCCACGGACAGCTTCATCTGCTGCATCTCTTCGAGAAGCCACAACCGCCACTTCAACTCAGCAAGCTTCAATCATGGCATTTCCTCGGCGAGTTTCGGGTGCAGCGTCACCCCAAAGCCCTTCAGTTGTGGCATCTACTCATGAAGTCACGTTTGCAATTTCATCTGAAGGAGTTTCAATCACCGCATCTCCTCGACAAGCCTCCGCATCGTCATCCTCTCGAAGATCTTCAGTGCCATCCTCACCTTCAATGCCACATTCTAGGAGGCGGTTACATGGCTCCAAATGCGCCACTGACCAACTAACTTTTGCAAGTTCAAGTCCACGCATCGAAGTATCACACTGTGATGCCCAGCCAGGAGCTGAGAAGAAGGTAAAAGTCTTAGCTAGAGCAGCAGCAGAACCTCCAGAAGAATTCACTCTAATCGAGAAAAATGCTTTGTTGGTGGACTCGAGAATTCAAGAAGACTCAATCGTTGCTGCACTCTCTGACGAAGAGGCGCTTCACTCGGGTAGGAATCTCAGCCCACGGAGATCACCAACAGGAAAATCCAGGAGGCGGCTTGAACCAAGGAGAGTAGTGACAAGCGAAGAAAATGACATGTTCTGGAAGACGAATTCGTCACTAAGGATTTTAGAATCTTCATCTGACGACGAGCGCAAGTCGGTCACTCCCAGGATGTCACGATTAATAGGGAAGACCGTAAAGCCACTAGTATGGCGATCACGCTCGATTGAAAACCGGGAAGATAGTGATTGAGCTCTTGCATCAGAATTGGTAGAACGAGGCCAAGTAAACTTGACTTTCACCACGTTTGGCCGCCAACATGAAAATTCTTCGGCCACAGGTATTGCTGCCGGGTGCCTTGAGTGTAGAAACCATCTGAATGGTTGGCTCTGAATAGTTTCTAGTGGAATACAGGTGGGTACCGTGCCAGGCTGCTCTGCAGAAGAGAAAGCTCTTAGCTGGTTGTAGATATGAATACGCATAGGAATCTTCATGGGAAACATTGTTTTAGCCTGTATATGAGCCAGCCTGCTTTGATGACCTATTGGTCAGAATGTTTCCTCACCTGCATTTCAACGGCAGTCTCTCCACTTTCGACGCCACCCATAAATGAATCATTCACCATTGCTCACCGAAACGATTCATTCAGGTGGGTAAAATGCTCACATCAAACATGAGCTTAAATCACAAGTAGGGAGTAAGGAATAGGTGTTCAAGTTGAATCTCATGACCGAAATAGGGGGAAAAATCAGCAGAAGTGAGTTCTTGTTAAATCGCTTTGTAATGTACATGACCTTCACAATATTTCACATTTTGATACATATTTGTACTGTCGATTTAAGCAAGATTTTGAAGCACGAGCCTATATTTCTTAATACAAAAGGTTTCATGGATGCAGTGCAGTTTTATAGCTAAATCTTAATAGCAACACATACACAATGTATAGGAATGAACGACATTCTGGATTGGATCCGTGTTGCAAAATTATATGATGTTATTGCTGATGTGCTGGGGATGCTGGTGCTTGGGGCAACATACGCACAATACAACATATTGGTAATGTTTAGAAAATTACTATTGTGGTTGGAGACTTGCCTCAAAGTTTCATCTAGTATCATAGATACTTGCTCAGGTATGCCTCTATCTATCTCTGATTTAAACTATGCTGGAGAATTTTCAACCACATTATATACATGCTTAACACACAACACTCTAGGAACCCTGATCTACGTGTGAAGCTTAGAAAGCAAGTTCCAGGCGTGGTATGCCAAACCCGCCAAACTCAAAAGATTCAACGAAGCTGAATATCCATGCAATTCCTTGAATCTCTTGTTCTTTCCAGCAAGCTCCTTGCCGACATTGTTCTCTGTTGAAGTCAATCCCTTCCCTTCCTCTTTCTCCAACTTCATTCTTTCGAGATAAAGCTGTGAAACAAGGAACGCAGTCAGCGATCTTCACTTACAAAAGGATAGAAAAGCATGGAAAGTGAAAGGTGTAGACAGAAGTACGAAAATCCATCGACAAGGGCACATACCTTTGTCGTTTCCGGTTCAAGGACGTAGGCATTGTAAGCCGTGGTACTGGTCAAGATGAGGAGGTTCAGGATCTGCCATTTTGAAGCGATGCTCATAAGCATGTAGAGGAATGTCAGTGAACCTTCAGCGGAAGTCAAGAACCGGAGGTACGAAGGGAACATCTTGGTTTGCACCTGGCGAAACTGCTCCCCGGGCATGCTCTGGGAGAGAACCCGACCCGACATGAAAGTCATCCACACAGCTGTTCCGAACGACACGCCCCAGGTGAGGAGATGCATGAAGCGCCAAAATTTGCTCCAGAACCCGGGCTTGGCTGCACATCCATTCGTCAAATTTTCACCATTACAATCATGAATCAAGACAAAAATCCATCAAATCCAAGAAATGTCACAACCGTGTCGCCAATTACAGGTCACAGTGTCGAAAAGTCTCTTGCCTATTTTGTCCGCACCAACGGCGGCTGCTCCTGCAGCGAGCACCTCCTTCCCTTTTTGACTGTAATCAGAGACAGCTTCTCCAGTTTTCCCCGCCATGTCTCCCGTAGACTCCTTAGCTCGACCAGCGGCATCATACACAGTGTTAGCAGCCTGGCTAGCTTTCTCTACAACCGGTTCCGTTACTCCTGCAACCTTACTCCTGGCTCTTTGGAGGAAAGACTCAGATTCAGGTGCTTGATGCCACACGTATCTTGTGTTTCCAACTATGACGTCGTAAGGGGAGTAGTTTCTAAGATAGCTGTGGTCGTCATCAGCCGCTTTGTGCCACCCCAAGATCTCGATGATGCTGCCAAGCTTGTTCTTTCCGGTCTCATAAGCATCTGATGAAGTATCACGCGCATAATCGTATGCTCTCGACGCATACCCTCTGTCGGACGGGGCTTCGTAGCCTGCAGTTCTATATGCAGTGTCTCTAGTTGCCTGTCCAACCCGTGATAAGGAGTCGCCTGTTCGGTATGCGGCATTGGTGACGGTGTCTCTAGCTTTGTCGAAAATTCCTCGATTATCTTCCTGTCCATAACCCATTACGTGGTCCCTCACAGGAGCGGTGGTCGTCTCGTACGTCCTCGCAGCGCCGTCTTGCATATTCTGAGCAGCCTGGTTTATAATTGTTCTCGTAAGCTTGAGATCGGAGCCTTTCACTACTCAAGTTCAATTGACACACCCTAAAACATTCTCAAGAAGATATATGACATCCAGAATACCTTACCCTTCTTGCAGCATCGGCGGCACGCTGGGTGTAAGTTGGTTCTGGATCTTGTTTCCCCCTTACTCTGTTCATCGCGCTGCTAGAAGTATCAGCTGTCGCATCGTAAGCCCAGGCTGCTGTGTCCCGGGCTGCTTGCGCAGTCTGCACGAGAGAGGCGTTCAACAGTTTAGACGGCAACTTCACAACCGTCGGACCAATTTTTATGTGTCTAATAAATTCATCTACTTCCACAGAATCAGGTGATTTCACTGCTGATGTTCAACTGATCAAGAAGGTTAAAAAAGGAAGCGCTTACACCAACTGGAGTATCCCTTACTGCTGCTGCGGCGTCGGCAGCTCTACGTTGCGCCGCGGTGGCTGCTTCAGCAATGTAGTTTCCTGCAGCCGATTGTGCGATGCATCACCAACAAGCATATGAACTTGTAATTACTACAAATCTAGAAAAGTGAGCCACCGAATTTCAAGACCTTGCAAACAGTAGGCACTAACCTGCTCTGTCTCGGTAAGCAGCTCCAGTTGGTCCACTGGAAGAGCGATCCCTCCCACCTCCAGTGACCACCTTAACCCCATCTCCTGCCGTTTCGAAAGCTGCGTTCGCTGTCTGCTTGATGCTATTGCCTACCTCAGCCACCATCTCACCTCATTTAGAGTCTTCTTCTCCTTTCCAAATCAATCAACACTACACTAAGCCAAATCAACCTCTAACACCAGGAAAAACCGTATCCCCATTCTCTTTGAAGAAAAACTCTTAGTACATGTTCAAGTTCACTCAAACAAGCAGTTCATTCAAACAAGATCTCAAATTCACAACACATTCCGGCTTCAATGTCGAGCATAGCTTGCACCATTTCTACACTCCAGGACAGAATTGAGATCCAAGTCCCTCACCAACATTGCTAGCGGCGTCTGCTGTGTTCCGAACCGCCCCCTTGGCGTACTCTTTCGCAGCTTCTGCTGCAGTAGCAGCCTCCTCGTTTCTACCACCCCATATTGCTTCGGTAGAAACTGGCGACAACAAAAGCACAATCAACAGCCCCAATCCCAAAGCTCCTGCGCCCATCCTCATTCCCCTAAGTTTTCCTGCTCCTCACCACTAAACGTTTGTTCTGCCCCCTTCTATGTACCGCTGTTGCATTCAATCAGTTCTTGACCATTTAATCCTAGTTCTGGCTTACTTGCAACCAATCTGTTGCTTGGATCCCGCTCTTAACTCTTATTCAGCCCTTGTCAGGAACCATTCAGAGATCAGAACTCTAGACATAGAATCAAGCTAACAAATATCTCAGGGTTATTCGCACAGCCAATGCGAAACTTCATAATGCGATTATAAGTTCGACATATCCATTCCTGAAGGCAAAATGCGAGTGAGCGAGAAGGGGATGCGCCTCGACGGATTCCTCAGACGTGCCAACTGGTTGCCTCAAGTACTGGATTCATAGCCCACGTTTAAATAATAGGCAAATTAGGTACAAATTTTATAAAATGGGGCTTAGTAGCAAAATTACCAAGTCAGACCATCAAATCGATCTGCTTTTCAATCCACTTGGGAGCATCTCTCCTCGACATCTGGATACGACAATAGCAAGCTCTTCCTGGTGTTTCTTCTGGAAACAGCGAATGCTATGAGATGCGCCCACTTGGACTCTTCACATGCAGCTTCAGTGCTGACGACACCTGGGTGTGGAATTCCGTGTGCAGTGGCGCGTGGTATTCAACTGTGTCTTTATACCCTCAATTGTGGGTTCGTGAACCTCCGATACATTCGTAATCGATCCTTTTCACCCATTATTAGATTCGTCTTTTACGGCTATTCTACTATAACGTCGGTAGTAATTACTGTTTGTTAACCTTAGAAGAGAAAATGAAAAACTCAATGGCATTCAATGAAGATAAACTATGTGTGTGGGTGAGTATTTATAGACATACATGAATATGATACGTAGTGTCATGTTATCTTTCAACTCTGTCGCTGAAGCGGTTGTCGGCATTCAAGTGAGCTTCAGGATGTAGGATTCTGCTTTGCCTCCCAGTGTGGCGCTTCCAAAGCTGGAGAGGTAAATTTGTTTACCTTGTACCTGGTGGCTATACAGATTACTTGGTTGACATAAGAACGCGAAAGGACTAAATTTCTACTAGTTCTCATGACCAATAGCAACCATAATTCAAGTCTTTTCTGGGACGTGACGGATATCTGTGAACAGTCCACTAGCAAATAAATACAGGTTAGATGCTAGTTATGATAGCAATAAAAGGATCTTCAGGTAATAGTGAAGAATTGTATGAAGAGGATCTCGAAGAGGAAATAACCATGATGTTTGACTAACTTCCACATTACTGAAGTGCAGTCATTTGATAATCACGTGGTTCCTCACCAAATCCTTGGATGGCTGCTACTTAGGCCATTTGAAGGATTGTTGGGAATCATGAAAACAGCCTCTAAATCATGCAGCAATTCCTACATTCCCCATTTTACACCATTCTCCAGGGTGCCACCCTGAACTCGCACAGCAACAGCTGATAATTACAGGTAATTCTGGACAATCCCAAGAATATCTCCACAGCACCAATGAAGCATTCAAAATTCCAGTCTGAATTTGTGTCAGACGCATACAAGGGTATGTGGAAAGCACGATCAGTTTGAACATTAGTGATCATGAACGCACCCACTTGCAGACGCAGCTAGGCTCTAGAATTGACAACAGTGTAATAGTTAGCTCCTTGATTACAACAGCATAAAGAATGCGAAATAATAGACACATGGAAGAAGATTACATGGGAATTTAACTTACAATCACAACCCTCCCTAGCGAAGCGCAGTTCCCTTGGGCCCCGCAACAAAACCCTGTTAGAAATACGTCGACTGATTGTGGAGTATGTTCAAGTGAGCCAGGATCTTGGCTGCCAGAGGACGCGTTGCAATAGAACCCTTCTGAGTCAAATCAATGAGCGGCATCTGCGCGGTACTCCCAAATTCAATCTTGTACTCCTCAATGCGAAATACCCTTTCAAGCATCCACACGGCCTTTTCTTTAGCATCCACACTGCCTACAGTCAGTAACCTGACAATAAGACGGATCCCTTGCGCTTGCGCAATCACCTTGACTGCATTTTCCAGAGTGGCGTCATTGACGAGGAGCGTGCCAAGGGCAGTGAGCGCTGCGTAGTCAGCTCCGTTCTCTTGCACTTCAAGCGCTTGCACTAGAGGTTGCACTGCTTGCGCCATCACCAGACAAAAGGTGGTCTTCACGGAGCACGGACCGCCATGAATGCTGCAACCCACAGGCATGGCGGGTCTGAAACAGGAAAAGCACGACCGGGGAACGTTTTCTTTTAAGGCAAGTCCCTCGCTGCTGAGGGAAAAGTGGCCGAGCGCGGTAGCAGCTTTGCACTTCGCCAATGGTGTCCCAGTTTGAAGAAGTGTAACGAGACGAGGGATTGCATCAAGATCAGCTGCCTTTTGTTGCAAAACCCTGACGTTAGAATTTTCCGGAGAAGTGAAGCGTAAAAGAGCTCCAGAAGCGCACTCTGCGAGTGCGTTACGCACAGTCCGAGGGCCACTCTTCGGTCCTCTCGAGGGGTTAAGGAGGTTTACAATGGCGGGTAACGCATCAGCTTGCAAGAGGACATCTGTCATTTTTGCATTACTCATGGGAAGGTTGTTAATGATGCCCACAGATGCCATTTTCTCTTCGTCTCCACTTGAGTCCACTAGCAGCTTCACCAGCGCCTTGATGTAGGTTGGCCCTAAATGATCAGCCAAATCTTTTCCCGCGCCCTCACTTGACAAGCATTTCAATAGCTTGAGCGCGGGAATACGAACCTCTTCACCGGGAGCTTCACAGAACGGAAGGAGGAGCTGGATAGCGCCACCTTCTCGCATTTTGGTTCGCACCTCCCGAGCATCCGAGATGCTAGACATCCCCAGAAGCGCCCGGAGCAGGTGTCCCTGAATCATTGGCCCTGCAAGGTTGAGTAACGACAATAACTGGAACAATGTTTCATCAGATTCAAGGATGTTACCATGGTGGTCAATTTTGGTCCCTGCATTTGTACTCGCCATAGCAAGATTCCCAAGGGTAGCTGCTGCATTTTCTTTCAAGCTCATCACAACGGAAGTGACAGAGAATAAGAGCCGCAGAATTGGAGGAATGACTCCAGCTTCAATCATGATCTCTCGATTTTCAGCTAGCGTTGAGAGATTCTTCAAAGCTCCTAGAGCTGCCGCTTTTGATTCCAGTTTGCCTACAGAGATCATCTTCACCAACGGAGGAATGGCTCCTTGTGCCGCTAGCGTTGCTTTGCTTTGGTCCGTCAGCCCCATGCGTGATAATGCGCTTGCCATTAGGATTTTCGTCATGTCCGGACCTGCACAGCGCGAACATTTGAACCCAACGTAGAAACACTTAATGTACAGTATATGAGAAGTCTTGAATGATCGCTGGAACTTAGGAAGTTCGTCCTGAACAACAAATTATGATTCAAGACGAATTTGTAGGAGAGTTCTCGAAAACTTAGACTGGTATTTTTAAAACTAAAGCATGAATAGCACAATAGCTGACATGAAGAAATATGAAAGATGTACGACCAAGAGCTAGGCCATAAACCTGGTAATTTAGACTTGACCGAGAGACATTTGAACAACAGATAGGTGCCTGATCATTACAGAAGTGGAGCTTAGCAATGCTCTAAAAATAACAAGTGGTTTGATGCCATGATAAACTATGTAGAGAAATACGACGTATTTCAAAATATATGAATAAGTGCATTTCTGACCTTTTAAAAGATCATATCAAACTGTATGGAATGGACTTCCTTATTATAACGTGAAGCCACCTAACTATCTTTAATACGTTATCATGAATCACACAGAAGAAGCAATATTGAGGGACCCGCAGAATATACTACACAAACACTAAAAGGGGCACTGTCACACAAGTTGCTTAGTACTCACACTGATTAAAAGGAACGGTGTCAAAGAGGAAGTAGGAAGATATCAGGAATAATAAGTTTAAGGCAACGAAAATAAACAAAAACATGACACCGTATCCTCACCTTCATTCAAACGTTGGGCAAGCGGTCCAAAGTAATTTGCTTCACCCATTTGAACGACATTCTGGTCGTTATTAGCAAGATTGTTGAGAAGCTCTCTGGCATCAGCTACAGACTGAGCATTCTCAGCATTCAACATGGTGACAAGCAGTAAAATGCAACCCTGGACCTTGCCAATCTTCTCACAGATTTCAGGATCTTTGGAGAGCTCTCGTAAGAGTGCTACAGCTTGTCTTCCCTCTCCTACATCCCTCGCTAGCGACTTCACCACCAACTTTATTGCACCTGCTGCCGCAATATTTTCCTAATTGTGCTCAACAAAACCAGCGTCCGAGAATCACTACCACACCGTTCATCCCCATAAAGTAGGAAACTTCATCAAAGAAAACACAATCTCAAAAAATAACGAAGTGAGATTTTTCAAAGCGATGCGTGAAGTACCTTATTTTCTTTGTTGTCCACAGACAGGCTACGAAGCAACTCAAGGGTCTCTTTGCGAACGATTTTCTGGTTAGATGAAAGGAGTTGAACTAGACACGGAATGAGACCCTCAAGAGCAATCCAGTACCGATGAATCCCTTTCTCTTCACTCAATGCCAGTAACGTCCTCAACGCAGAACATATCTCACTCTCACTAGTGCTTTGTAACTTAGGTTTCGTGGCGGCGATACTGATGGCTATGTTCCTCTCTCTCCATTCCTGTATAGACTGCCGCAATGCAAGGTTCGGCTTGATTTCTAGGCTCTCAAGCTCAACCTTCGTGGTGGGACAATTGGAATTTCCAGCAGACAACCACTTCTCAATCGCAGCTCTTTCATACGTTTGCCCTGATGCTATCTCAACTGGCTCCTCCATGATTTCATGAGTGATCGGGCAATAGAAGGTTTGAAGAGGCGGAAGAGGATGTCCCCGCCACCCACCAGAACCTCGCTTTTTCTGGTAATTTTGATCCTTTTCACTGGCAGAAGTGATTGCATCAGCACGACTAAGAAGAACGATGATCTGCTCAAGATATCGATACTCTTCCTGATTCTCTCGTGCTCGCGCGTCTTCCTTTTCCCTCTTGAGAACATCCAGCTCTTCCTTCAGAGAGGCTGGATTCGTCGGTACTCCAACTGCTCTTGCAATCTGCAGTAATAAATGATTTGCATACTCCGAGTTCGTCTGTCGGCTGCGGATTCCATCATTGATTTTAACAAGAATAGCCTCCTCATCGGTTCCAGGTTTGAACTGAGCTTTACGCATATCACTAGACAGCTTAGTCATCGTTTCCAGGGTCTCCACAGCCAAGTCCATACCGGAAACGGGGATAGAATCTAAACAATGACCTATCTCGTGGGTTATATCCTCAATTTCCTTGAGAAACTCCTGGCATTTCAAAATAAGGTAAAACTTACTCTTCGATGTGCATATGCTGATAACATATTGCGCTTTTGCTACTTCTTGTTCAATAGACATTAGGGTAACCTGCATCCCCGCAGGGTCGCTGACATTCTTGCTACCGAGCTCTTCCAGAATTAAGCGAATGCTCTCAAGATACTTGGACAGCATTCTAAAGTTTTCGTCCTCTATCAACACACCTTTGGCAGCTCGCTCAGCGCGCTCCACTTCCTTAAGCATCCTTGTCAGCACCTCTGAGTACCGTGCCAACATAGCATTGTCCATGCCCGTGGCATCCTTCATCCTTCCCAATCCGAAGCGTCTTCTTCACATTTTTCTCTTTCAACTACAACCGTGCGCGACCCTCGTATCCCCGTACCATAACCGGGCCTCGGTTGATTCTTCTCTGCAACTCTCTTCACATATGCAGGACTCACTCTTCTATGCTGGCTTCAAAGATGCCGGTAGGCAAAAATTACTTCGATCACTAAGCATCTACACAAACAAGAAACCAAATACTACAAAGTACGTAGCACAAAAGTCTCCACTCCTGATCTTGCCTTAGACATACTCCCGCAGAACCTAATTCAATTCCTTTATTTTAGACATTTCTGTCTTTCGACCACCGATCTTCAAGCCAGCTCATGCAAATAACAGAGTGCAACTTCCGCTCTTATACGCCAATTGACCATTACTGGGGGAAGAAGGCTGTGACTCAATGCATATAAGCTATAATAAGTTCACCAATTCGTCCAGCAGCACCGCAGGTAATTGCACCAGGTCTAATATATACAGAATTCACGGAATACCGGTAATGCCCTGGATTTCAAATATCTAACACAAGATTATAATGCTTCTTTGACCACTTCCGAGAACAGTGCGACCGAGTTTTTCATAAAAATCCAGATTCGATGACCTCAAAATCGAAGCTCTTGTTGGGTCTCGGCATGGAAAACAAACAGTTAACGCCGACAATCGTCGCGTGAACCCTTTCGACGGAATCCCATGTCGGCTACACAACACTGGCGATTGGTAAAGCGCTAAAATCCGAAGAAGAGCACCCGATTGTTACAAAAACATACGACGTTGCAGCCATACTCTCCCAGATCCGGTGCTGAGTGCTGGCCGCTTCCAACAAGGAACCTCCCCTCCATCGTTTCACCCATTAACATCTACTATTCAACTTCGAAGATCATGACGTTGCGTCCTTGGACAACAATCCTACACTTCTAAAGAAACAAACCTCGAAGCCTACCATTACCCTGTTTCTACCCACTTACGCAACCTCTCGATTGCAGGCTCCAACATCACCGAAACAAGACAAAGAGTAAACTCACAAGCTAAGGCAATGAACCAAAGCCTCTGACGGTACCATGAATGCGCACCCAGCCACCACACATGAAGCTCGGAAGGACCCACCTACATCCTCGGCACAAAAATTCTTTCTACCTCCGATTTGGAAGCAAGAAAGGTCAACCAACACCCCGCGACCATGAATTTCGGAGCTCCAACAGTCACAAACGTGGAAAATTTCCAATAGGAAGGGTGAGAGACCGACTAGACGCGAAGAGACTCACAGACGTAGAAGATGAGAAATCCAGCATTGCCGACACTGTAGCTTCTAGATAGATGTACCGGCCTTCCGTGGCCTACTTGGTTCCCACCTGTGTTCCCAGTCGGTTCCCACAATTGAGCTCATAGGATTATGCCCTCGAAAACCTAGGAATCCAGCATTTCTACGTCAATTCTCAGTTCCATGGCGATCCGCAATGTCTCTCTTGCGCAGTGGCTCAACCCAGTACGCTCAAGAATTGCAGGGATTGCAGAGAGTGGGAAAAGTTGGAGACCTTTGTTGTCTCGTGTTTCTGTTGGAGTTTTTGGGGCCGAGAATTGGTGCAACCAGAGTGCAGATGTGTGTGGCAGTGGCGGTGTGAGCTATGGACCACGAAGTATTCAGAGGAGGTGCCAAAGTGGAATTGCAAGAGCTGGGACATCGGTCTTGACAGCTTCCAGAGTGGAGACGGGGTCCAGCTACGTGCGCGTTATGGGTCCTGGCAAGGGTGATGCAAATGTAATGTGTTTATCTTTATACTTGCGGTTTTTGGTTGTGAAAGATTAGTTCTTGGGTGAAAGTCATGGTGATGAGGGGACTGCGTTTACGAAGTGCAATGCCGTTGAACAATAGTTTCGTCTGGTCTTCAGGGACCAGGGCACTAGGAATTCCTTTGGAGTGTACTGGTGTTAGGTTTTTGTGCTTTGAAGTGCACCCTGAGGCTAAAGGAGTAGATGCAGCTCGCAGGTATTGGACACCTCCTCGTCTTTGACGAATTCTTTGAGTTTCCCAACTCCACTGGTCTCCGGTTACGCGATCCCAATACTTTGCTGGAATCTGTCATATACTACTGCGATGAATCGTCGGCTGTGGGGCTGGGTGAATTCAATGACGCAGAGGAATTTAGACCCCGCCATGGTGTTCACCTTTACTTCAAATCAAACCTGCGTTCTATGAACCAAGAAGCTACTTCTGGTGGATTAGCAATGCATGACGGGGACTCTTGCGTCCTGGAGACAGGCGGAAGCCTTGTATTGCCCGTAATTGATCACGTGCGAGATGCTTCGTCAATAGATCCGACCATCATTGATAATGTTGCTGCTGTCAGAGTGATTGCGGGCAACTTCGGCAATGTCTCAGTGGGGCCCCCGCTTCATGACTTTGTGAGCACCTCTTCTCCTGCCGTCTGCTCAGCTTCTTCTATCATATTCTTCAAGCACGAATTACTCACGTACTCGCACTCTGAGCATACCGACTGGTGTTCCAGGTTTAAGAGTCCATGATTATTCATTTTATAATCAAATCATTTGCCTTCTGTTTCTATTGCTTCAGATTATGCTGGACGTGCGAATGCGGCCTGGATCGGAAATGTCTCTGCCTTTAGACCCACGTTTTGGAGTTATAATTTATATACTCGAGGTAACCTCTTTCTTTCTCTTTCTTTTTGTTTCTCAGTACCATATAATCACACTCAAGGTGATTGAGTAATGTGTCCCTAGATGCTCCTCTATCATATGCCTGAACTCACTGAAAACAATTTATGAGTCTTTTTAAGTGCTTTTAGTATTAAGGAGATATATTTTCTGTGCAGGGAGTGGGAATTTTTGAACCTAATCGGTTTGAGGAAGACGAGAGACCATTTTATCAGAATGAGGGCCACGGGTTGTACATACCTTCTTCACAGAAGCAAGCTAGTACAACAATACGAACACACGAGTGGTCGCAATTGCGTTTTATACTCGTTGGAGCCCCTACAGTCTGAGCGGTGGTTCCAAATGCTACCTTGACACCTACTTGATTTTCAAAATTTGATTCTACCCTACTGTGCCTATGATTTTCTACATCACTTGTAACTTCCCTAATAAATTTCTACGTCACACCTCGCATTGATCACAAGTTTCCAATTTCACAGAATTCATTGTCACAATTCAGGATGTCACCGGATATGCTTGCAACCATAGTCTTCAGCACATATCCATCTCAGTCCAAGAATCATGACGAAGATTTTGCATGCGACTGTGGGGCACGTGTTCATTCTCATAGAGCTTGGCGTATATATGGAGGTTGCCTGTCTTGACTTTGACGACCTTATGAGCTATATACGTAGGGAGGAGAGCTAGTCTGTCCGCATTTCTGCGATTTCTTCTCTCTAATTCGCATGTAAGAGTTCTTCACATTTAATTAATTTGTTCCGGAGTGGGGCTTGCGCATTGAACTGAAGCGGGTCTCAAAAGCTTAGCCGAGATTCCAGCTCTTCGTAGGAAGCTGCCATCAATGGGCGTAAATAGGTTATTGAATTAGCCAGAAGCTGTTTTTTCTTTTTGTCCTTTTTCTCTTTTTGTTTACATGAATTGAAAGAGATTAGTGTAGAGCTCGTAGCACTTGATAGCGAAGAGTGCACATGAAGGGTTCTCTTACAGAATAGCAGACAACCTAAATCGAATTCCCCACTAAATTTTTAAGACCTGTACAACGACTTGAAGGGACGAGAGGTATGGACAGGCCGTCACAGCCAGTGATCTCAGCGTCCACTGGATGGTGGCGACTTGTATTATGAATTTCCATACGCTACCTTGGTCAGTGGTTCCTGCCGATAACCCACGCTCTTCATCTGTTGAAGGGTGCAACAACTCTCTGACTTCACTACTTTCGCCCTAAAATTTCGTTTAGATACATTGGAACTCATTCGTTGACTTGAAGTGCTGCTCCGTGTGATCGCAGCCAATTTTTTAGCGTCTGAAAATTGCAGTAAGAACCTACGACTAGGACTCTTAATTTTGTCGGAGGAAGTCGAGTAGTGATCATGTCAAGCAGCTTAGTTCGCATCCTCCATGTGCTAGTTGTAGTTGCCTGCTCTGAAACTGCAATTGCAAACAATGCAGATGGTAGCGGATTCACAGATTAACTGTTTATTGATTTCACTCTCACTATTTGGAAGTTTTATGAATTTCAAATTGGGCGTCTATCTTCGTTGAAAGCATTACTCATCAGTCTCTTATCCTGGCCCTCAGTTGCTGTAGCAACTACGCAGGAATGTAGCAACTGAGGACCGAGATGCAAGGGGCTGTGCAGCACCTGATGTTCTTGTGGAAGTCCATGAATGAGCAAGGCTTGCCTGCATCAAAGTTGATTTTGAACGGAAGGTATACATATTTTTCGAAAGATTATTGGTTTTAATTCTGTTGGTTTTCCAAACTTGTGCATTGAATTGTTCAAACAATTTAGTAGCTTTGCATGGAATTTAGTAGTTCTTTTTCAAGTGCATACAGCGGCTTTCAAGTTTCAAACACGGGCATTAATAGCCATGGTATCAACAAACTCTACTCCGAAGGACTTTATAGATGGGGGGGCAGCCAGATACATAACAATCATTAAAAGTAACATAGTTGTGTTTAAGATCATGCAGAGCTCCACGAAATTGAGAAGGAACTTTACCTGAGGCAACAGTGTCATGAAAACGGGAGAACGAGGAGGAGGAGGAGAACGGGTGGGTAGTGCAAGCATCGCGGGTGGAGGGGCGGAGGGGGGCGTTGTGGGGGGTAGGGGTTCGGGGTTTAGGGCTACGACGATGTACCGCAGAGGTTGCTCAGTTCTGGACTGGCGATGCGAGAGCTTGGCTGAGGGGTTATGCGAAGTGCAGATTGAGTGAGCAGCCATGGGGCGTGTCATCCGCGCCCAGCGTAAGGGAGCAGGCTCCATCTTTCGCAGCCACACGCACCGTCGCAAGGGCCCTGCGCAGTTCCGGTCTCTGGACTACGCCTAGCGCAATGGATTCATCAAGGGTGTGGTCTCCGAGGTGGTGCACGACTCCGGTCGCCCCTCTGTGCAAGGTCACGTTCCGTCACCCTTTCCGGTTTTAACGACAGAAGGAGCGGTTCATCGCGGCCGAGGGCATGTACTCTGGCCAATTCGTGTACTGTGGCAAGAGGGCCACCCTCTCCATCGGCAACGTGCTGCCCCCTGTTTCGCTCCACAATTGCCGTTCCGTCCCCTACCCAACCACAAACTGCGCTTCAAACCTCACCACCCAGCACAAAATCGTCCACCCAGCAATCGAGGCAACGGCACTTACCGAGTGGTTCAGCTGTCCGCATTGTGCGACACCAAGATGGCGTAGTCTCCCGACGCCCTAGCAAACGCTCTCTGATCTCCCATGCGGTGCTCCACGTTGCACACCACGGTTCAAGTATATTAATCCTTATTCTTGTCATACTTGTAAAAGTAAAATTCCTTGGATTTGGTTGTGCGGTTGATCTATTTGCTTCCTTCAATTGCACAACTTCTTGATGTAGACTTTAAACTTCTTCTATAGGCATAGGAATAGGTTGGCAAGAGTGATTTCATTTTAATGACAAGAAAGAAAGTCTTATGATAATGAAAGCTTTCTTGTTGTGAAAAATCTTGAGTAACAAAACATACTTTTAAGCATGCTAAAAAACCAATGAAATTATATTTTTGACAAAATAATGATTTAGTGCTTACAATAGATCAATTAGAAGGATGACGGACCAACTTCTATGTATTATTTTTAATTAAAAAATTATATTCATTTATTATAGTTAAATACCAATTAAAGGCATCTTCACTTATAAGTATTTCATGAATCAAAAGTAGATTTGTCAAGGTGGCTAAAAATCCACCAACATATAAAGTGGTGTCATTAGCCTTGGGTGCTTGTCAAGTCCCTTGAATAATTAGTGTAGATTATCAAAGTGGTTTATTCTTTGAAAAATTCTACTGCAGATCAATAGAAGATATAGTAGAAAAAATGGCATAAAACTAGAAATGCCAATGTCCTCATTATTGAATAGAAGAGGAACAAGAGAAGTTGGTGAAGAAACTTCAAGGTCGTCCTTTGAGGTAGCTTTGTCATGACCATCAAGATCCCCAAATAGTAGAAGTCTTTATATAGTCCTTGGAGCCACCAATGAAGGTGAAGTGATCATGGGAGCCACCTTTGGTATTGTGGGTGGAGTATAGAGTATTCATGGTGATCTTGGTGGACTAGATAGCACCATGGACTCCACAATGAGAGGATTGTTCATTTCTTCTAAAAGAGGAAGAGACTCTTTAGAAGGATTAAGATGTAATAAAGAATCTTCATTGAAGATCACATTTCAAATCACAAAGAGCTTATGAATTTCCAAATCATAAATCCAATAGCCTTTAATGCCAAGAGATTCAACATAGCCAAGAAACAAGTATTAATAAGTAAAAAGGTTAAGTTTTGTAAGTTTAGCATTGGATATTTTAATAAAAGCTAAATATCCAAAGACTTGTAAATAATGGAAGTTGGATTTAATGTTGATCTATTATTCATAGGGAGTTATATCTGGCAAAGAAGAATGATAAGATAGATTTTATTTATAAGAAGAAATAAAAATTGCTTTGATCTAATAATTAATATTGAGATTAATTTTTATATTCAACTACACCATTTTGAAAAGAGGTGTAAAGAATCATAAAATGTCAATTAACACTATAAAGTTCATAATAAGTTAAAAAGATTTTACTTCTAAATTTGCCACTATTATCTATTTGAAGGATTAATAAAGATTGGCCAAATTGAGTAATAACTTGGTAATGATATTTTTGAAAAAGAACAAAAAATTTAGATTTCTTTTTGAAAAAAAAGATTGTTGTGAAGCTCAAGTAATCATCTAAAAATAAGAAGAAATAATATGTCTCTCTAAGAAAAGAGGTAGCCATAGAACCACAAAAATTAAAATAAATAAACGTTATAAATATTATGGCACATGTAGTGGATGTTATGGAAAAAAACGTGTTATTATATTTTCCATAAATACAACCTTCACAATATATATATATATATATATTTGCTAATAAGGATAATCCAAAAAAAAGATGATAGCATGCCATATGTTGCATATTGGAGTGATTAAAGTGTCTCAATTGGTAATATCTTTAAAGTTAGAATATTATCTCAACTTAAAATATGTGAATTTGAAATAGATTGGCTATTTTTTGGGATTAAGCTTCACCAAGCACTAATGCTTTAAAGAGCCACATTGGCCAAAGTTACATAAACATAGGCCACATGGGCTTTGACCTCATAGAATAAGCCCTCATTATATTAAGCCATAGCCATGTTTGCTAGAGATATGCCAAAGAGGGCTCTTGAAATAAGATTGGATACTCTAAGGTCTAAAACCTTATCAAATCCATAACAATAAAAACCTCAACACAATGTAAGATCAAGCACAATAGAATAAAAATGAAAGTAATCAAACAAAATGGAACATAAAAGATAGAACTGAGTAAAAGAAAATAGAATCAAATAAAATCAAACAGAACCAAATAGAATGGAACAAAAAAAATTAAACTTTACTGAGAGAAAGAGTCTAAAGCCATACTTGACCAAATGCCTCAAATGGCCTCAACTAGTCCTATTTATTCTTTATTCAACTATCCTTGAATTTTCTAGAATATTCCTAATAGTGGGCTTCATTGAGATAACTGTCCTTCTAAGAGATTCTAAAAATGGATCCTATCATAATAACCACTGTAAGCCTTTATAGAAGGTTCTACAATAGGTGTTAGGGACATAGTCCTTAGAACCTTCTAGAGACAAGTTTCTAGAATCTTCTAGAAGCAAGTCTTTGGAACCTTCTAGAAGCTTCTTAGTCAGTAGAAGATGTTAGGGACATAGTCCTTAGAACCTTCTAGAGACAAGTTTCTAGAACCTTCTAGAAGCAAGTCTCTGGAACCTTCTAGAAGCTTCTTAGTTGGTAGAAGTTGCTTGAGAAGCTTCTTAAATAGGAGTATATATTGGAATCGAGGCTAAAGAGTTTTTCAATCTTGACAACACATCTCTTGGAGCTCTTGCTCACCTCTCTAGTGTTGTTCTTGTATTCATCTGATTAATCTAGTTCTTGCTAGTTCTTCTTGAACTT